TATATATATATATATACACCAATTTATACCATATATTGGTATTCATTTTGCTCTTTCATTAAATCTTCTAATTTCAACCCACGTCTCTCCTGTGCCCAGTCCCCCTTCTCAGCTGGGGATGGGTCACTGGGTGACAGAGCAGCTGCTGTAGCTTAGCCCTGGGTACCAGCTAGATGCAGACAGTGATCCACATGGACGTATCTAGCTTCTGTATCATAAACCCCCTATTATAGAAATTATAATGCAGCTTACTGTACTAATGTGCAATGTATAACAAATATATAGCATGTATTAACGACCTGGATAGGGTTAATTTTCACCAGGAGCTGGGAGAGGCCACAGCCAAGATAGACAGCTGAGCCAGCCGAGCCAGCCAATGGGTGGATCCATACCACACTGATGCCACACCCACTACATAAGGGCAAAGGCCATTGGTACAGGTTTACATGTGCTTATAAAGCGGCTTGGTGCCTTTATATATTGTGTCATTATTGTCATTTTCTTCTCCTCTCACATTAAACTCTCCTTATCTCAGCCCATGAGGGTTTTCTCCCTGTTTTCCTTCCCATCTCACTAGGGGAAGCTGGTGAGCGAGTGGCCACGTGGTGCCCAGCTCCTGGCTGGGCCTAAGCCACAACAGTTACGCAGTATATTGTAGATGTACACAAAATACTGAGTAACAGTACAGGGACCAGGCTGCCCAGGGAGGTGGTGGAGTCACCATCCTTAGAGAAGTTCAAAATACGTGTAGATGTGGCACTTTGGGACATGGGTTAGTGGCCATGGTAGTGTTGGGTTGACGGTTGGACTTGATGGTCTTAGAGGTCTCCTCCAACCTTACTGCTTGTATGATAGAAATACATATTACATATTGTTATACATTTATTGTTTGATACAGCTCTGTAGCAATGCAGGTGCAGCTTCAGATCTTGCCACCTGAGCTGTGTGCAGTTCCAGGATCACAAAACTACAGGATGTAAGTCAAAGAACTCTGAACACTTGTATTTTGCCTCAGGAGCTCTGACAGTTTTTAATTTCTGTTATGTAAGTTCTGAGCTCAGAGGATTTCAGCGTCCAGGTTTTATAAATGAGAGCCGAGGTCAGCGCCACCAGCCACGTTCTCATGGGGGAGAGGAAGAAGGCCAAGGTGCCGTAGGTCCGCTGGAGGAAGTAGCAGGAGTAGAGCTGCCAGGCCAGGAGCAGAGCCATGGCCAGGTGAAGGGGCACGGCCGCCAGGCCTCGGCCGCGCCGGAGGTGGGAGCGGAAGCTGTGGCCCTGGCACCGCAGCAACAGGCACCAGCACAGGTAGGCCGATAACGGCAGGTTGAAAAACAACATCTGGAGAGAAGAGCAGAGAAAAGGAAGATGATGAGCAAGGCAAGTGTCCTGGGCAACGTACGTGAGGGCACAGAAAAATACAAAGGCACATAAAACTGTCCTAAGGGCTGAGTACAACTCCCAGAGCTGGAACCTCAGGACGTGCTTCCAAGACTCTTACAATGGGAGGCACTTGCGTGCACCCCACCTCTCTTGGAACTGGTTAAGGGAGCTGCACTTGGCAGAATGCCTCAAAAAAGGGAGGTCCTTCTGTCAGCCTGACCCAGCCCACTGTGGTGTCAGAGGGAGGACTCATGGAGGAGGCCACACTAGCTTGGTCTGGTTTGAATGCCCACAAACTACACCCTCTCCTTCGGACTAATGGCAGGTGGGAAAACCAGTGGGTGGGCAGGTCAGACTGCTGGGAAAACCGGACGCAGTGTCCTTGGAGAGTGACACTTGACCTGAAAGGTTATTCAGCCTGCAAGGGCTGCTTCAGTTCCTTTTGCTTCATCCCTGCAACCTGTGCATGAGCCAAGGGAAAAAAAATAATTCAGAATGATAATCTGTCAAGATTGCCTCTAATCCAGGCATCCAGGGAGTCCAATCAGACAGAGGAAAAGAGAACTCTGAGAAAATAATGCACAACCCCCTTCCTTTCCACCCTTTAAATTTGCAGAAAGGTAAGAAAGAGCTGCTGTAGTAAGGCATGGCCACTAATCTTCTCTTTCCTTCCAAGGCTCCTTTCTTTATAAAACTATTTAAAAAAAAATAATCCCAGAAGAGAGCAGTTTGTCAGCCTTAATTTTTATAAATATGTACCTGTAAAATCCCAACCACGTATGTCAGGCTGCCCTGGAAGAAGGAACCACCGACGAACACCCCAAAGGAAAAGCAGGCCCCCACATGGCCATCTATGAGTTCACCTACAAACCACGGTCCTGGAGGAGAGGAAACCAAACAGAGAGCACCATCAGAAAGCACAACCTAGACACACTCCCCACACAGCCCTTCCCGAGCACAAAGCGCTGAACTGGGGGAGATGACTTCACTGCTGGTCTAGAGCCACGAGCCTCATGTTTCCATCTTCAACAATCTGGTGAATGTTCCCAAGGTGAAAATACCCCACTACACCAGTGAGTTGTGGGGAGCAATGGAAATGGTTTTGATTTGGTTTCATCTCTGTGATGATGTTTCAACGCCACATAGAGCATTTTCCTTAGGAGAGAAGTGAAGAGATTGACCCTTTCCAATGCTGGCTTCTTCCCAGAGTTAGTCAGGCGCAGGAAAGCCTCGGTCACAAACAATTCCAGCTTGGCTCAGCCTGGAAGTCAAAACAAGCTGCGTGGTGTCAGGCACCCTGCGCTGACTGCCAAGAAAGCAGCTATTTTAGTAACATTATCAGAGGAGAAATAAGCTAAAGCTCTGAGCTTCAGGGCTCAGATGTCTCTGTGAGAGGTCATGTGAAATGTATGCTCCATATACTCATTTTACACCAAGGTATAACCAGATCTTACTCAACAAGTGAAAACCAAATTAAATTTACAAATATTTATTCCACCTCAGAGTAATTTAATAATTTAAGGGTTTAATTAATTCCAGAGCTTTTGAGTTAGGCTGTTGTGAACAAACCTTTAGTCTCTTTGGATGTTAACTTTCCGAGTTTCACATAGTTTTTGTAACTTAAATAGATTTTCCCCATTCTCCAAGATGTTAGAAGTCTCATTTTTCATCCCGATCTGATGTGTAATTTAAAAATATTCATTTATGTCCTCCAGCACTCTAGGTGACTTACCAAGAATGGTGTATAAATTCAGAACCAGAACTGAGTAATAGAAGGTGTTTGTTTTACTGAAGACATGAAGGGAATATGAGGTCAGAGTAAGTAATCCTGGCTTTTCTAAACAGAGACAACAGGGAAGAAAAAGACACTTGATTCAGGTTGCAACATATATATAAAAATAAATATAAATTGGTCATTCTGAAACAGAGCTGCACATTATTTAGTCATACTATTAAACACAAAATAAAAATATAGTGTTTGGTATGCCTAAAGAACAAAGGCAAGGGAATGCATTTCTCCTGTTACTGTGGTAACTGAAAATAAGGAACGCATAAATACAACAATCTATGTTCTGAACTGCAGGAGAAGCTGCCTTTTTAAATGAGTACACTTACTGTGTGTAAATAAAACTGAATGACCATTCTATAGCCAGAAAATGAAGTTAGCTAGAGTGAAAAACATAAAGTTCATATTAAATGAAAAGTGGGAGATTCAAAACAGTAACTGTGGAAACCCAAAAAGGCAAGTCAGTATGGACTAGATTAACTGGATTTTCTGAGATCCACCTAGTGAGATCTGAGAGCAACTCAGATACAGTGAAGGCTAGGGGTTAAACTGGCAGCATTCTGACAAGTCTGTGATGTCAGCAAAAAAAAGGCAATATGCATTTGCTAACTGAAGCAGAGGATTCATGGACTGAGATCCAGAGAGCCTTCCTGTAGAGGGTACCTCTTAGAGTTTTGCCTGCCACATGGCTGCCCTTCCCACAGTGTCAACTGCCAGGGGGCAAGCCTGACCTTTGGAAACCAACAGCTTTAACAAATTTGTTCACTAATTTGTAAAACTTGGGTCATGGTCTGCAGGGACCTAGCTGACCACAGAGTGCTAGGTCTTCTAGGTCTTCTCATTTTTATCTGCTGAGCTCCATGAGGAGGCAGTGAAAATGTGCTCTTCTTCTCTGGGAGCAGCTGCTGCAGTTCCCTCAGGATGCTACGTGACCATGAGTATAAAGGAAGGGACATATGCTGACATGAATAAGAAGGGAGGTGGCTTCCAGAAGAATCTCATTAGTAAGGTGGGGTTCAAACAATTGTTTAAAGGATAAACACCACAAGCTTGACACTATTAACAGTTGTTTACCAGATTTATCCCAAACAAAACACCACATTATGACAGAACTGGGCAATACTATTTTCTGAAAGAGCCAAGCCTGTTCCTGTTCTTTGCAAAGATGAACAAAAATTATTTTTTTAGAAGGAAATGTTTCTCCACTGAGGTGGCAGGAGATTCTGTGGCCAGCTGTAGTGAAACAAGCAGACACAAACTAAACCAAAATTATTCCTTTCCCTATGCACTGGATTCTTCAGTGAGAAAATGACACCTTTAGACTTCAATTAATTGCATTTTTATTCAAACAAAAATACCTGATCAAGTTTTTGGTTTTTAATTTACTTTATTTGATATATTGGAGGTTTTCTGGGTCCCCTTAGAAGCAAAACAGCAGCCTCTGTTTGAATCCAATCAAACCCCACAGTACTAGATGCAAAATTCATCTGGTGATTAAAAGCCCAATTACTTATTAGCATACAGATAAATAGTAAAAAAAAAAGCTTAGGGAAAATCAAATCTAAAAAACACAAACATTGGTTCATACCTTTAAGTGCTGGCTTTTGGAGGTATCTGAAAACAACAAGCAAGATGATCTGAATCAGCACAATCAGTCCAAAGAGCACTCGAGCCTGCAAAGACAGTTTGAGCTGTAAGCCAGCCCTGGAGCAGCAGCTGCCTTCCAGCTTGGCTTAGGGGCACACAGAGATGAACACCTATTCAGAGCTTGATGGTGTTATTGGACTGAAGAGTAACAAGGAACTTAAGAGCTTCTGAATTATGTGCCTTGCATCTGAGTGACTTGGACTCAGCCGGGTGGCTGAAAGTGATAGACCTGAATCTTTCAGTGGAGGGGTTCCTAAAAGGCATCTGTTGAAAAAGTGTAAATACACTTCCCATGTAAAACATTTTCTGAGTGCTGGGCTGAGCAGCACTGTGGTTCAAGACACTGTGGAGAGTATTAGTTACTGATTAACAAAGCTAATATAATAATTTTGAGCCAATTATGATACTCTCTACAGTCGTGTGGACTTAGCCAATGTTGTTCTGTAGGTGCACCTAAACTATTACAACATGCTTTCTTTGCATGTACTGAGCTGTAACACTTCTGGGTATGACCTGAAGCTTACTGAAGTCAATGGGAATTTTGCCTTCCCTTTTGCTAGAGCTAGCTACAATGTCAGCAGCTGATGTGACTTTTCCAGCATTATTGCCAGTACATATATTGCAACAAACCACAGCGAAGTTTTCTTTGACTTAATGTTTCCTTTTTTATATTATCTCCAGTAGCTTCTTTTTCATTTCTTGCTTGCACAAAACGTGTGTATACCTATGACCAGAAAGGGACTAGTGTGACTAAATCCAGGCAGTCAACTGTTTGCATGAACCATTGCTGCACATTCAGTTTTGAAGCATGCAACTTGAGGAAGGAAACTTGAAATATTTGTGAAAATCCAATGGAGTCATGTCTGAAAAAAAGCAAAGTGCTTCCAAGTCTACCAGGAATTAGGAAAATGCCTCCTGCAGTCTCTGGAGAAACCAACATGGAACAAGCACTGTTTTCCTGGAAGTACTTACCAGAACGTAGTGGTCGGTGAGAAGGATAACAGATGGCCAAAACCCAAATCTAAGAGAGAGGTTTTCTTCCATAGCAAATATATGACCCCGTGTGCTAATTCTTCCTGAAGCATCCTAGATTGAGAGAAAATAAGAGAGCAATTAAATACCAGTAGTGCACAAAATATGTAGTTCAAGTTGCTAAATAGCACTGCAGCTTTTCTGGGAAGACCCACTGGCACACTGCTGTGTTAAATACTTCTATCTATAAAGGATTACTACCTGTCAATTTTGTGGTTTCAGGTAAACTGATGACTCTAAGATCGTAATCTGATAGTGCTAGCTATGAAGGAGATCCTGTCAGAGATGATTCAGGAACTTGTGGAAAACTATTTATTGGTCACCACCACCAATTGTTTTCTGAAAGCCCAATTCTTGATAATAGCCCATCTTAAAATATTCTGAAGCTTTACTGTGCTTCTTTTCTGGCATATTTGCTAGAAACTGATATTGATAAACAATAACAGTGCTACATTTGTTCAACAATTCAATATTTCTGCATGTGTAACACTGACACTTTATCTTCCAGTACATACTCAATGGTATATTTATAGTAAAGGATTCAGTATGTTTAGTGTGATAACGGTTGAGACAATATTTGGATAATCCCAGAAACAATATACAGCCATTAAGTATTAATATTTTCTCCAGGTACCTAACTCAAGTTAACTCTTAATCCTCATTAACATTCCTAAAACTATTCCATTACTAGATGTAGTAATGATTTATGACTGGAGGGGGAAGGAAATTAATATTTAAAAAATCCCATTCAGTTCCCTGATAACCAGCATCTATTTGCAAGCCCCCTATTGCTATGAAGACCTGTACAGCCCTCTTGAAATGTTACTTGGCTTTGTGCATATGTTTTCAACATTATTAAAAAAAAAAACAAAACCACTTATAAAATGCAGCTTTCCCAAATAAAGCATCACAAAAGTCAGTAACAAGCTGGGAGGCAGAACACTGGCAGTACACAAGGGACGTCAGAAAAAAGCCAGTATTGCTTCTGTCCTGTGAGAACTGATGTCTCGCAGGATGCCACCAGGCAGGACAAAGGTGACGGTCCCAGTTCTGTTGTGGAAACACACAGAAAGTCACAATGGTCTGGTCAAGTTCTCCAAAGACCACTTGAAGGTAGAGAAATAAAATACAGTACCAAGAACAGAAGCACTCACTGAAAAACATCTTTTTTTTTTTTAATCAGCCAGTAATATATCTGTGAAGTCTGATGTTCTGAGAAACAGAAACCGTGTTCACTGTCAGCCTCTAAGAGATCACAGAAAGAACTTCAAACAGATAATGAAAGTCATCATTCCAACCTTCCAGATCCCATTCCTTTGCCTTCTGGATTAAGATGATGCTACCTCCTGTTTTCCTTGATCAAGCCTGATCATTATTTTTCAAGACAACCTTAGAAGTTAATTGTTGTCTATTATTCAAAATAATTTATTTTTGACCAATTACTTGCTCTTCTGTCATGTCTTATTCTATTTCTCATGAAAAAGAAAAATCCTTTCTTTTGTCCAGATGCTTTATGAATTTTTTAGTGCTCAGCAGTCATTCTTTTTTCTTCTAATAAATCCTTTGGGTTTTGTAATAGGACAACTACAAAAGGAAGTCTGTTATCCTCTGTTTTGTCCCTAGTTACATGAAGCAGAATGGGACGGAGCAGACATGACAATGTAAAAATTCAAAGAATTTCAAGATAATAAACACTCAAAGAATACAAAACATGCCAACAGGTGCCTTACCTGGACAGTCACATCGATGTGATGGAACCCTTCACTGTAGTTTTGGGGGCTCCACTTGAGCACATAGAGAGGGCCAGACACCTGATGTGCGTTCCCCAAGAGAACTCCATCTATAGAGACTTCCACGAAGGTAATGGCAGAAGGGGAGAAGGCCAGAATTCTAAGCAGTGAAGAAACAGTGGAACAAAGGGATTTGTTACAGGACTTGCAGATTTGTCGTTACTTCTTGAAGGGAAATCCCAAAGATTTTGCTATCTTGTACTTAGGAGTTCAAAAGAGTTAGAAAGTAAAACAGTGAAAAAGCTGTAGACTAATGGTAACATGGTAGCTCTTTCCTACAGATAGAAAGAGAAGCTCTATGTGGTACTGTGCAGAAGAATAGGACAGAAAAATGGGCTGTGGAACAGAAGAAAGAGTGGCAGAGATCCTCAGGTCCTGGCAGAAATAATTTTCAAACTTTTGCTGTCAAAACACTTGCTAACACAAGCGAGATGCAACCTCCTGCATACATGCAGACACACAATCAAATACTTTTAGATGTCTTCATTAAAAATTGCCTGAAAAGCATAGCAAACTTCCTTTGATGGTAATTCTGTGTATGCAGTATAACCGTGTATTTCAGCCATGTTGGTCTAACAGCAAACAGAGATGTTGGAAAGGGCATAGCAATTTGTAACAGAAATGATAAAAATAAATAGAAAAGGTAGAAATGGAAAGATGGAGAGATTTAAAACAAACATGAAAATTGGCAGAGGCTTAAGATATTTTAATATGTAAGGGATGTAAAACTGAAAACACAGGAGGCTAAGACATCAAAGGAGAATAGAGAAAACACTTAGAAAAACACCTAGACAAAATCCTGACATCATCAGAGGCAGTGGGAACACATGAGATTCATAACAGAGATTATGTGTTGACATAACTGGGTCAACTTTGGTTAACTATTTGTTAATTTGCAGCAGCTTAACATTGCTGTTTGTTTCTTTAAATTAGATTGTGCTTCACTGATTTATCTTCAACATTTTGATTTGGTTTTTACACTCTTGACCAGGGCCCTGGGCGACCTGACCTAGGTAGAGATGTCCCTACTTGTGTAGGGAGGTTGAACCAGATGACCTCTAGAGGTCCCTTCCAGCCTAAAACATTCTATGATTCTATATAAAAAAATTCAGTTGACTTTAGGGGAAAAAACTGCATGAAGAAAACACTAATTGCTACTGTATAATCTCCTTTTATCACATATATGAGCTCTCAGGAACAATCCAGAAGGAAGTGAATTCTGAGAACAGTGGACACATGCATTTAAAAAAAAAACAGGTTTTGAGTATATACATGTAAATATAGATGTACACCAACCAAGAAAGACCCCCAACTATGAAAATATAGTTAGATGTCGTGAAACCAAGAGCTAAGAGGGTACCTGATATGAGTGGAATGCAGAATTCTGACCAGCGGTTCGTGAGCAGAACTGCTGTAGAGGAAGGATTTGGGGTTGGTGATGAGAACAACAGGCCACTCCTCAAAGTCAAGATCTGCAAAGCTGAAGAGGTCGTGATCAAACGCAAGGAGCCGGTACCTAGAGTGAAAGGGAAAAGACTGTTGGTACAAACTACTGCGTGCACAGCTGATTCCCCTGCTCCCCAAATTCCCAAACAGCAGTTTATTTCCCATTTACTCTCTTCTGTAGCTGACCCTCTGTTAACCAACTCTGCTGATCAGTTCATTTTATTATAAATCACTGAAGTGCCACACAAAATTCCAAGTGTCAAGATCAACTGAATTTTCCACATGAATCAGATGATAGATGAACATTATGTTAAAGAATTCAAACATAATGTACATTGCTACAGTGCCTGGGTAGATACTCTAGCTATGGACAAAGACCCCAGTGTCCTCTTTTTGTGTAAATACAAGTATTTTAGGATTACTGCAAAGAAAGGCTTACTACACATGACATAGCATTGGATATTTTTTTTATATGCTGCTAAGGTAACATTTAGCAGGTTTTTTGTTTCTAAAGTTCTAGCAGCTTACACAGACCACGGATATTTTGAAGCAGTGAGGTTGAATTTTATTACAATTTATTTGTCTACTTTGAATACTAAACACATACTAAATGGACATTTAGATGTCCTCTTTTTAATTTCTAAATATAAAGAATGAATCAAAAAATCACTCAATTTATTGGCACACTGTTGGTATAGAGGAAAAAAACTCAGACTCACACACAGAGTCATTTTTTCAAAAGTATTGATAGTAATAACTGGCCAGGCAGATCTAATGCTTCTTTCAAATTCCCCAGGCAGCAAAAAAGGGAATCCCAGTATAACCAGGGAGTGTCCATATAAAAATGTGCTCACAGAGGATTTACTTACTTCCTGTTATCCATCCAGTCTCCCAGCTCGAGCTCCAGGGTGCCCCCATGGTGCTGACTGTGCAAGACTGGCATCAGCCCACCCAGCGTATGCAGGTGTCCACACAAATAGGCTGTGGCAGAACTAAGCAAACAACAGAGGGATTGTGGTTATCTGGGTGAGAAGGAAATACCACTGCAGAAAAGCTGAGAAGTGATGGACAAGCATGTGAAGAGAGACAAGAAATGTCCTTCAGACTGAAAACATCCAGGAAAATAAGAAAGACCTTACCTCATCAAAGTTCGTATCCCTGGGGCTGGGGAGATGATGGTTGAGGTGGGGAAATGGCCAAACCAGATCGTATGGTTGCTGTGCAGACTTTGTGTTGCCATCACAGAGAGCTCCTCCATTTGATTCTGAAACAGGCAGGCAGGTGTTTGAAAGACAACCAGCCAACCAACCCAACCTGTTTAACATTCAGGCTATTTGGAAAGAACAGCCAAAGGAAAGCAGAAAGAAACTAATGAAGAATGCAATTAATTTTATTTTTTTTTACAAGAGAATACTCCCAGTTGCTTCAGGAACCTGTACATGAGCAAACTGCACTCCTAGCTGTATCCCTAAAATCCAGTGTTGGAAAAAGAAAGTAGAAAACAAGACACTCTCCTTGTAACCAAACACAGGGAAAGTGCAATACAAAGAATGATCTGGGTAAATGATATTTCTATACTTTCTGCTGCTTATTTATATAGTCAAAGAAGACTCTCTTGAGTTGTTTGTATGAAGATCATTACTTCACAATTATCATCCCTATTATCTCTTGACCTGCTTGATGGCCTGTTACAGGCATGGCAGAGCACAGAAACTGTGCACCATGTGCCTCAGTCATTGGACTGCATGAACTACCATACGAACCTTGAACATATTACTCAGCCCTTGCTGTTAAAGTGAAGCAAAAGTAACACTTTACACAGCAGATAAAATTCCTTGGCTTTACTTGTTTGTCTTCCAATATTAAATCAATGACCTACTGTCCAGAGACACTGCCAATATCAGTAAGATCTCAAAGTCTAACAAAGAGGGCAGGAAAACTAAAACCAGAAAAGAACACAAATCCACTCGTTCACCATTGTACAGATCATCTTTTAGGGTGACCCAGAGAACTACCAACATGCTCTTCTCCCTCCTACCTGAAAAGAAATGCTGAAGGGCATGAATAAAGGGAAGGGAAAGAAAGGCATATTAAAAAAGAAAGGATTCACTAGGCCATTCTGGGTTAAGGTAATTGGCTTATTAACTGAAATTATATTTCCTTTGCCTTTATGAGTTTGGATTTTAAAAATATTTTTACCTAAGCTATGCAATCAAATCACTGATACAAAACAAATTTATTTTTCAAATTCCTGGGAGAGGTTTAATTCTTAAAAGTTACAGGTGTCTACCTTTAATTTCAGTTTTGTGCAAAACTCTGCAGATGATGCTCTCTGGACTCCTGCTGCTGGGCAATTAGGAAGCAAATGCAAATGCTTGACTTCCTGCAGCCAAGGACTGGGGCTCTAGAGCCAACTGCCTGTCTTAGCTCCTTGAGAGTCTGTCTGCAAACCTGCTGCACCCACTGTGGATTACAGCAACCAGTGAGAACAGCACGTGGCACTCCTACATCACCTTCACCAAGCACTGTGTTAAATTAGATGTGGAGCCTCCACTAGACAAGATTAGAGGAAGAACATTTTTACTTTTCTTTGTGGCCATTGTCACAGGCAAAGTATGACACCTGTTTACCCTCTGACAGGAATTCTGCCAACACTTCAGAAGAATATCTCATGAACAATAGTGTATCAAAAAACCACAGAGAAAAAAAATGAAAGGGAAGCACAATGCTATCTAAGCCAAGATACATTTGGATTAATGTTAATCTTTCAAAACAAATTGTAGACCCATTCTTACAGTTTCATAAAATCAGATCTCGCTTTCCTAAATGACACATTTCTTCATAGCATTATCTTTATTATTATTCCATTGATAAGTGCACCTCTCTCATCTGTAATTTTAATGAAAAAAAGTATTTAACAAAGCAAAAAGGAGTGAAATTCGAAAATTTAGGGTTTGGGTCTTTTTAAACTTTACAACATGTGAGGGAAGTATCACTCAAGTCTAGCTAAATGCCAAGAAACTACTGACGGTGTCCTTAAAATGCCTAATCTGACATTTTTGTACTGGATTATTTAAGAGAGAAAACACAGATGCTCTGTGTATTAAGTGGCACATTCATTTTTCTAAATACATGTCCCACATGCATAACAACTTAAAAACGTAAATGCCCTTCTAGATGAACACAAATATCTTCAGACAATTCTTCTTTACAACAGCAAACAAAACCCCCAAACCAACCACCAGAGAAGTAAACAGCCAGCAAAATGGAATGCCAAGACTTAGAAAATACCATGTTTAAAATCCCAAAGAAATTATAGGGTCTCTTGGGGCCTGGGGTGAGTGTGGCATCCACGCAGATGAACGAGTAGTTCCCAAAAGAGGTGGTGTGGATGTAATGGAAAGAGCCATCTTTACGCCAGGCAGAGTATTTCCTGCCAAAGAACAATGGAAATATTCCTGTTAGGAAGGCCTCCAGCAATGACAAAAATGACCTGCACAGCATAAATACAAGACTTCTTGCATGAGATCTAGCTTCAACTCATTACTGCAGTAAATTATCTTCTTAAAAATCAATGGTAGCAAAAGTATCAATTCAGGGAGCAAAAGTATCAATTATGCCAATTTCTATCAAGTTTGTGGGACTTCACAGGGGGTGTACCTGATGAGTTGACATTTAAATATAGTGACAATCTATTTTCTCAGCAGGGAGTAGAATAGATTTGGCTGGTGGTTAGGAGAAATGAAGGGAACCATTGGCTTGGTGCCTAAAGCCTACGTAATGGAGATGTGTGATATTTGAGAGGCCTGGGAGAAATCTGCACTTGAAATCAAGAGTGGTGTGCTGCTGCAGTTCACAGACCCAGCCCCTGGGAGAAGATTCTCCCATACACGTTTTGTGGTTTCAGTGAAGGTAGTCAGATCATTGCCTTGTTATATTAAACGTTAAAAACTGCAACTGATTGTAATTAATTCTGCAGAAATATTCAGCTTAAGGCTTCTTATAGAACTGTAATGAATTAAATAGATGGTAATTAACATATGGAACACAAGCAGCCAAATAAGTGCCTGTTGCTCTTTTCTAAAGCACGTTAGCAGTCCTCTGTATTGCAATCCTAACATTTCTGCCTTAGAGTGGGAGTAACAGTCGAATCATGCTGTGGATGTAAAACAGGAACCCATGTTTTTGTGTAAAAATATTATTTTATTTCAATACCACTGCTGCCTTCTTTAATTTTCATCCATAATGAAGACCAGAATGTGGTGTTGAATACTTGTCTTCCCTAGCCTCTATCTTTATATCGGCCAGCCACAGTGCTGCAAGGTGTACAGCAAACCCCAGATTATTTAATTACCTGTTCAGGAATCACAGGAAGGCAAGCAGATACAGACTTACTGTTGCTCAGACAAAAACAAAAAGAAAAGGCACTGTCCTTTTGACTGTTGAACTTTGCAAGGCCGAGGCAAAAGAAAAAGCTCCCACAAGACTCCATTTCACTTCTCTCTTCCTGGAGTGTGGCACATTTGTTAAAAAGTTTCTTAACCTTTACATTTTATTAATGCATTAGATTAATAAAATTGTCCCTGTAAAGATAGTTCTCTCTTTAGTGATGCTTAATAGCTTTTGAAGACTCTTAGGGCCTTTCTTCAGTCTTGGATAGAAAGTATGATAAATCTCATTAAAGTTTCGTTATTTTGCCCAGATCACAGACTATAGTGAATAGAAAAACATTATGAGAACACACTTGTTTAGTGAGATACTATTAATTAATAAGCAAAGACTTTTTCACCTGGCCAGAATTTCACTCACAACTTCTTAGGTTGGCTAAATTGATCTGAAATGTCACCTGAATCCCTTTCCAGTCCCTTTTGCCATCAGGCAGCTGATCCATACATCTTTCCAAACAGCAGCTGTCCAGGCCAAACACCAATTCATGGATGATCTGGGCAATTCAATGGTGGTACATCTTCCCCTGTCTGTCCCCAGGGCTTCTGAGAGCAGCCTTAAACTAGAGTGGAATGCTGATACTAGATTGTTGTGTAGCCACAACTGTGGCAAAGGTATAGGAGTGTGCACTACACTAATGCATCTAGAAGCCTTGTTAGCACCATCCCTTCATCCCTCCATGGTAAATTCACATGTGAATTCCATGTCCTCCTCCAAATGCAGCTGCTATAGGATCTTATCCTACAGAATTTGTGGGAAAACTTATCTGCTGGCCCACAGGGAACTGAAAAACTGAACTATCAGATGTCTAATTTGTATTGCAAAGTGGATGGCTTCAGAGCCTGAATTAATGTAGAATTTAGATTTCCAAGTCGACCTCCAGTTCCAAAGAGTCAAAGCTGAAAGCACCATCAAAATGATGAGACAAGATTTTGTGCTCATATGTGAAAGGCAGGAGAACAAGAAGTTAAACACGAGTCACAACTGGAGCTACCTTCACAACGTACAACCAAAAGAGCCAGCTGAAGAGGGGAAAGTTCCCTCACCTATCTTTAAATCTCAACTGTGTTCCTCAAGAACATTTGTCCACTCATCATCATCATCTGCCTTCTTGCTTCTCTACTTTCAGTTTTCTAAAATGACCCAAATGTGAAGAATGAGCTCAGATAAAGCCCTTTCAGGCACATAGAAACATTTTTTTTTTAAAAAAAATTAAGTTTTCTCTTGCTTCCTTTTTAATTTTTAATCTCTTTTAAGGAGGAAAAACGTTCTTTGGGAACACTGGGTTTACAGAAATGTATCACACAACTGTTCTGAGGAAACCAAACACATGACACACAGAACATTGCCTAGACACAGGCAGATTTACAACACATAAATTGTAAAACACAAAGGGATAAGAGATAAGAGATCTGGACAAAGAATTCTCTTTTCCCACTCTGCTCTACTAACTGGCTATGGAAAAGACAACAGAGGGAATAGTAACCATGATCCTGGACTACTGGGAAGTCAGTGAAACAGCACATATGTGGTAACTGAAAGCAGAATGTTGTTCAGTGAGTTTTACCTTGAATGTAACAGCACCTGTATGGTAAATAAAAGTACCTGTAATAGTTCTGAACACTATACTGGTGTGGAATGTTGAATGAATCTGTAAGGGAGAGAAAAAGGAAATGAAGAAACTTTCAGATCAAACTGATCATTGTCTCTGTAATTTATTTTCTAATGATGAGATAAAGCAGCCTCAGCAGGCACCAGAAAGCCAGGTTTTTTAAATGCATAACTGACAAGCAGCCTAACTGTGCACAGAAGACATTATATACTTGATGCCATTGGCCTAAAAGTGGGAACACTTTTCTCATTTCAGTTTTAACTCAAAGGTAGAGTTGTTGTGGGAATGTTAATTGTCAGTTAGTGGCTAAAAGTTAACCACGTGTCTCTGCTTTGGCCATAAAGCTTCTCAGAAGGTTTTTGGGTTGGGTGCATTCTCTGTAAGTAAGACCTAACTCATCCAAGGGAAATAATGTAGCACTAGCAGCAGAGGGTAGCCCCTGTAACACAGGCAGCAGCCTGGGGAGGTTTCTGCTGCAAAGGGGATCCACCACTCCACAAAGGCTGGTAGCAGAAGCCTGATAGTAAATGTCACATATATATGGGCTGTCTACAACAAAGCTTGCAGTTTGTTTTTTCCTCCAGTACTGGTCTTTCTAGTCTTCTAGCCCTTTCTGCAACAGCTGGCTGATACAGCTACCAGGCTGTCCCCTTGTGTTCCGGTGCTTCCAATGTAGCAACAACTACCATGTGTACAACCTGCCAAGAGTTCTTTCCATCCAAAGAAACCAAATATCCTTTAATTGCTGAATCTGTGATACTTTTTAACTTAAACCTGTGAGGGGAAGTCTATGAAAAGTGAATTGAAACCATTGCTTTGGTCAGGTAAGGTTACAGTTTGTGCTTCTGTTAAAAGCTGGGGTATAGAAACTAATGACCTGGAAACTAACATCTGAAGCTGTGTTCTACCACTTGCCAGGTGAAAAGCAGTAAATGAAGACTCTTACTTCCCTGGTACCAAAACTCCAGTAAGTGCCTGTAGACAAAGTGTGCCCTCAGTAGAGTAGACACGTGGATGGAAAGCTCTTCTACTGAATAATAGCCACCACTAACGTGCTAGTAAGTACTAACATTTCACCTCTATATTCTAATTTGCCTAGATCAGCTCTGTAATCACAGGAATGAAAGAGATGTTCCATTTCTTTCTTACCATGATTCCCTTTGATGTCTATCCACTTGGTTTTTTCCATGACCCTTGACCTCTTCAGGACTGACTGGTACATTTTCCATTCTACTTCTACTTGTCGAGACCCCAGTTTATCTTTTGTCTTAGCATCTGTCAGATCACCTGGAAGTGTACAAAATGGTGAGATAGAACTAGAGGCCTCCAAAGCTCACACAAATACAATAATTAGGCAAGCATTCAATCCAAGCCTCCTGGTGTATGTGGCTGGAGGTCTCCTGTGTGCAATCTGGACGCTCCTGTCATCTGGTCCAAGAGGTTACTGTAAGGGCAAATGCCTGGAATGCAGACGTGGCAGCCTCTTCAAACATTACCAACCATATCACTGCAGCATTTTTACTAATGCCATGCCAAAGCAAAGAAAATGGCTACACATCCATTATACCTCAAGATTCTACCAGCCTCTTCAAACATTACCAACCATATCACTGCTGCATTTTTACTAATGCCATGCCAAAGCAAATGGCTACACATCCATTATACCTGAAGATTCTAGTCATAGAAGCTTTGCTTATCTTCACACCTCCTATATCTCATATAGCTCTAATTAGTCTAATTAGTTTGAACCATTCCCATTTCTCTTCATACAGTAATGCCTCCCTGCATTGTTAGTTAAAAGGTGAATGCTAACTATTTCTGAACTTAAAAATCAAGCAGCTTATAAGTAACTGTCTGCAGAAACAAAAGCCCAGGTCTAGCATGAAGACTCTAAAGCCTTGCATATAGATAATGGCTCAAAGTCTTTTTGATTTCCTTGCCAAAACCTAATCCATTCCAACAGCAAGAGCAAGCTATCAAATGAAGAGGCAAGGCTTGTTTCACCTGTCTTGGTGCATGTTCAAATGGAAACCAGCAATGGAATCTTATGGAAGTTCCCAGGTGAACTTCATACGAACGAGCAGGGACTGCTCTGAGAGGAACTCGCTCTGATGACTAATCAGAGACATCCCTTACTTCGGAAACTTCAACATGAAGAATGATGTAGAATCACCACCAGGAGGATAAGAAGGAAGGTAGATCCTAGCAAGGACTGAGGTGTAGCAACAGGTATTAGGAAAACAATGGCTATATTGTGTAATCACCTCTTTGCTACAGACAGTACACACTGTGCTCACCGACAGACTTAGGACACTGAACAGAAACAAATTCTCTTTGATTGAGAAGTCACTCTCTTCTGCTTCTAGCAGTCTATCTTCAGCTGCAATTCCATCTCTACTGCTTAAGACATCTTCAGGCTTTAAAATTCTCTTGAGATCCCATAATTTTGCTTATTTCCTCTACCTTTGTCAACACATCCAACAGGAATTCACACTTCTGAATTGCTTACCTGTTGCTAGAACAAGTGCTGGCTGAATCACATCAATTGTTTCAGAACAGAATTTTTCTAGGTCAGAAATTCGTGTGGGATCCTGGAATCTACTGATATGAATATCTGACACCTGCAAAAGAGAAAAAATGAAGCACTGTCCCAAGCAGAGTGTTCTTGCTGCCCAGGTTGTTCTGCAAAGGCCAGTACAAAAGAATGCAACACAAGAGCAGTCACAGCAATTCCTATCAGTGTAAGGGACAGAGGGGGAAAGAGAAGTGGATGACTAGGGGAGAACAGAAGCAGAGAAAGCATATGATATTGCAGCTCTAACCCCTTACGTCACATTTACATCAAGAAAACCTCCTAAAATCTAAGGGCATGCAAAAATATGGGGAAATACTTGGGTATCTCTAAGTTTTGATGGCTCTAAGTGGCCTGGTGATCTTAGAGTTTGTGAGCTTCTGATGCAACACAATGATCTTGCTGCAAGAGAGGATAGAAAGTAGTTCTGCAAAGCAAGAATAGGTCCAAGTTATGTAGGACTTTGAATCACACAGATAACTCATTTTCTAGCTGGTGTGACATTTCTGGTAGCTGGGTGGGAGGATTTCTAATGTTCTACCCAGGCACTTTAATGGAGCTAATGAGTGTGTTTAAGTTCCATTCCAAGTGCCCTCAGGAAGGCAAAGCCTCCCAGAAATGATGATACCACTTGCACATAAAAGATGCTGTTAATTTCTGAACCCAACAGTCACAGCCCTCACATCAGAACAGCCTTATGGGGCAGGATGGGGAGAATAAGAAAAGTGAGATTCTTTTAAAATTTTTTTTTAATATTGTGGCTTTTCAGTTCTGTCCAAAGTAAATCTTGGGTAAATGCTTTCAATTCCACCTTGCATTCCACTTCAGTCAATCAATTCATAAATTATCCTCCTCAGTTTAGACAAACATTATTTGGTGCTCAAAAACCAGTGAGCACATGCTCATGGCCATCACTAATGGAGAAAGAAAAACATGAACTTCTACATCCAGTTTAATAAACCTGGCTCTTGTAAAGCTTTTTCCTTTTTGAAAAATCCAGATAAAATACTTTGGAGACAAAATGCATTAACTTCTACTTAGTCATTTGAATATGAAGAAAACATTCCCTGAATACAGTTTTTTTTTTAAGGCTGCTTAGGAGAACTCCCCATTTGCCTATATGAAACTTCTGCCTAGATCAGAATTGGATGCTACCCAAGGTAAACACTTTCAGACATGACCTTAATTTCATTTTTATGGATACCTTCAAGCTAATGTGGATCAAAGAGCACAGTAAAATTACATCAAACCTAATTTGATCATTGACAAGGAAACAACATCATATTTTGCTTCTCCTCAGCCTATGGATTTGCAATTCATCTGTCTCAGCAATCAGAGAAAATAATAACTTTGGTTGTTGCTGCCTTCAGATTCTTGCAAAAGTCTTACAAGAAACCTTACTCCTGTTCTACCAATAACTGTGGAGCATGTGAACTTTCAACCTCTTAGCAGAGGTTGGGAAGCCTGATCTTCTACAAAGATCTTCCCACTTTTTTCCCCTGCTATGAGATGAACTTAAGATTTACAAAAAGCTTTTCTTGTAAGAGTTTCAGTGTCCCAGGGCTTCACAGAGCTGGGATTAAGTTTCTGTCATCACTAAAAGCCATGAAATATTAAGTTCTTGGTAGTGGAGCTTCTCCCGTTGTTTTTGTTTGTTTGTTCTTGTTTGTTTGTTTGTGTTTCTTTAAATTAACTTCAAAAGATGTCCAAATAAAAGGGAAGTCAGTGGGCAAGGGGAGAAGCTTGCAATGTTGTTATTTAATTTCCCAAAATGTAGGTTAAAGCCCCCTTGCTGCATTTCTTCCCTTTCCCCTCCCTCTGACTGATGTGGAAACTTGGCCTCTTTCAGTGTATCATAGGCAGCAACTTTCATCAAAATGGGTAGGAAGAGACTTAAGGGTGAGGAGAAATCACCATCCATGTTCCTTATCTATAGAAGATGTGTCTCAGGAAAGCCAGACATTAACAATGGAGCAGTACAAGGCCTACAGCATCTGCAGAATACATCCAGCTGACAGAAACAGGAGAAAAATCAGCAGTAAGCTTGTCAGCTACTGAACTAGAGTGACACTGGGCACTGGGTAAGAAA